TGCTAAGGTTAAGTCTATTTGTCACTTGTTGAATGCTTCGGGTATTGTGGTTACTGAGCAGTAGGATGTTAATGTTATGTTAGCTGGGTTATCGATGGAGTTTGAATCTATTATTGCCATTGTGTCACGAGAGGTGTCGTCTCTTGATGTTCTTACTGAAATGTTATTAGATTGTGAGGCTTGATAGAAGGTGTTCTTGAGAGAGGGTATTTATGATAATCTTGTTCTTCATTCTCGAGAAGGTAATACTGTTGAAACTGATGCTCGTGGGTCTTAGGATTCTGCCAATGGGTTGTCACAGGGACACTCGTTTTGTGCTCAATCGAGTGGCTATCATAGTCTAGGTCAAGGGCATAATCACAATTCAAATCGTCCTCAATGTCAGTTGTGTGGTCATTTTGGGCATGTGGTTCAAAAATGTTATCATCGCTTTGATAGGGAGTACACTGGTGTGTCTAGGTCTAATTTGTCTACTGAAAATGCTTCGAAACCACCTGGTGTTATGAATTCTACCAAGCATGTGCAGTCTGGTGGACAACTTTATGCTCACACCGTGACTTCTATTCTTTCTCATTCAACTTTTTTTCCCACTCCAGTTTTTGTTCCTTCTCATTCACCTTTTGGTTCAGCTCCAGTTTATTCCCATTCTCCGTATGTTCCTGGGTATTATTATTTTCTTAGTTTTTCTCCTAGATTTTCTTCGAATGCTCCTCGTGGTTCTCATGGTGCGTCACATCCTTTTTTGGCTCCTAGTTTTGCAACCTATATTTCAACTATTCCATCTAACTCGGGTTATAGTTCTTTAGTGTCTACTGACTCTTTGTGGTACCCTAACACTAGTGTCACACCATGTGACAAATGACATGTCAGTGTTCCGATCAGGTATTATTATATCGGTAATAGTGCTTTGCTCATGGGTAATGGTGATGATGTTCCAATTACTCATGTTGGTCAAGGTTTTTTGAGTTCTAGTAAGAAGCCTTTGCTTTTACAAAATATGTTGCATGTACCTAACATAAAGAAAAAATGTTGTTTGTTTCTCAGTTCACCCATGATAATGGTGTTTTCATGGTGTTTCACATTCTGAATGTCTTGTGAAGGATGCTTGGACTCAAGTGGTTCTACTTCGCGGAGGCTCACGGATGACGGTTTCTATTAGTTGCTATCTTTTGGTGTTCAAGGTCCTTCTTGTTTGGTGAATAATGTTTCTAAGTCCTCTATATCCTTGGACTTATGGCATCAGTGACTTGGACATCATTCTCTTGATGTAGTTCAGCTTGTTATGAAGTCTTGTAGTCTTGTTTTCAATAAAACTAAGGAGTTGAGTGTGTGTTATACTTGTATGCAAGGGAAATCTCATAAATTGTTGTTTTGTAAATCGTTGATTGAATATAATGAACCATTTCAACTTGTTGTTTTGATGTTTGGGGCCAACTCTTGTGTGTTCTACTGATGGTTTTCTATATTATGTTTCCTTTATTGATGTTTTTAGTCGTTATACTTGGGTGTATCTTTTGAAACAAAAATCTGAGGTGGCTTAGTGCTTTCTTGATTTTTTAAATTTTGTTAAAGTTTAGTTTGGATATAAGATCAAGGCTCTTCAAACTGATGGTGGTGGGGAGTATCAACCACTTCGAATGTGGTTTTCTACAAATGGCGTTCAACATCGTCTCTCGTGTCCTGGTACATCGGAGTAGAATGGTAAGGCTGAGAGGAAGCATAGGCATGTTGTTGTAACGGGGTTAACCATGTTAGCTCAGGCTTCCTTACCTCATAAATTTTAGAGTTATGCTTTCGTTTCTTTTGTTTATCTTATTAATTGGTTGCCTAACCCTATTTTTCATGAAAAATCTCCTTTCAAAGTTCTTCATTGTATCTCTCCCGATTATTCGTTTCTCTGGTTTTTGGCTGTGCATGCTTCCCTTGTTTACGTTCCTTTAATCAACATAAGCTGGATTTTAGGTCGAAGAAGTGTGTTTTCGTAGGATACAGTACTGCTCATAAGGGTTATAAATGTTTGGATGATTCTGGCAGGGTGATTATCTTGAGGCATGTAGTTTTTGATGAAAGAGTTTTTTCTTATGAGGTATGTAATTTTTATGTGTTTCTTTCCCGAGCAGTGGTGTTTCGACATGTGTGCTTCCTCTTATTTCTCCCATGCAGTATGTTGTATTACTTGATGTATTAGTTGATGCAATACATGCTCCTATGAAGACTACTGATGTTCCTATGAGTGTAGGTAGTCCATTTGTTGCAGGTCTTCAACAATCTCCTATTGTTGAGGAGCATGTGTCTAGTTCTCCTCTGTCTGCTACTGTTGAGGAGCATGTTTTTCCTCATGATCTGTGTGATGTGTCTGCCCATGAGCATTTGTCTGGTGCACCTCCTCTTGATGGGATTTCTCATGCACGTGATGTATCTTCCCATGCACCCGTTGATCATTCTTTTGTACCAACTGCTTCTCATGCACATGATGTATCGTCTCTTGAATCTGGTTCTTCTCTTCCTTTGGTGCCTGAGATTGTTGTTCGTTCTTCCTCATCTCGGGATGTATCTGTTTAAAACTTACATCCCATGGTTAACAGGGCCAAATATGGTATTTGAAAACCTCGTCTTCTACATGTTGAATGTTTTTATGAAGAGCCTAGAATTATTAAGGAAGCTATATGTGTTCCTCACTAGAAAAAGTTGCTCAAGAAAAGTATGATGCCTTGATTGCTAATAAGACTTGGTATCTTGTCTCTCTTCCTGAAAATTGTGTACCTGTTAACTGTAAGTGAATTTTCAAGGTCAAACGCAATGTTGATGGTTTGGTGTCTTGGTACAAGGCCCGTCTTGTGACGAAGGGTTTTCTTCAACAGTCGGGGATTAATTTTCATGAGATTTTTAGTCCAGTTGTGAAACCTGTAACTGTACGGGTGATACTTTCTCTTGCTTTGACGAAACATTGGTTGATGCGTCAAGTGGATATTAACAATGCCTTTTTAAATGGGATTTTTTTGGAGGAGGTTTACATGACTCAACCTCCAGGTTTTGTTTAAATTGATGACCATTTAGTTTATAAGTTGCATAAAGCAATTATGGTTTAAAACAGGCTCCTCGGGCCTGGTTCGATAGTCTTCGAGAGTACTTGGTTTTTGAACGGTTTATTTTATCCAAATCTGATTCATCTCTGTTTTTCAATGTTTTTAAAACCGGATCGGACCTTGAACCGATGAAGGTACTGGTTCACTGGTTCAACCGGGTTCAACCACGATTGAACCGGTATATATAAAATAATATTTTTTAAAAATTTACATAATATTCAAAGCAATATTAATATATATATAACATTCTTTTTAATTTCACAATATTAAAATGTATAAAAATATCACAAGTCATAACATATATAAGTTAAATACCATAATATCAAGTGAAACAAAATGATTCAAATCAACTACAACATAATATTTAAGGTCAATACCTAATGAAATTCATCAACAAACAAATAAATAAAAAGTACATAATTGATACAAGTATCAATCATCATAATATTCATTGAAATTGATTCCCTCAAATTCCAAAATATTGGGAAAAACTTCTTCATTAGTTGAACTACCACCACCATCACCACTTTGAACTTGAAAGTCCACAACATCAAGATCTTCATCACCTAGCAATATGATAAACAAATACAAAATTAAATTTAAATTCTCAAACAATACTTAACAATTAAAAGTAAAAGTGTAAAACATATTAAATAATAAATATAATTATATAACTAAAATAAACAAGCAAAGATTAACCTTCATTATTTTTTGATGATTGGGCAACTGGAATTGCATTCTCATGATAAAGAAAATTATCAATCTCATCAATATCAAGCTCAGGAGGTGTTTGTTCTTCAGTTACCCAAAAATCAACATGATCAATAGATTCATAATCAATAGGATCATAACATGGCTTCTTGAGCAACCTAAAATTAAACATCACAATATCAAGAAAGAAGTTGATTAATGATTAATTGATTATGCTTAAAAGGATAAGGAAATGAAATAATATTTTGACATTATACATATTCTTTAAACGCAAGTTATAAGTAACATAAACTAGATCATTTAGTCTTTGATGTTTTAGTCTATTTCTTCTCTTTGTATGGATGCGTTCAAAGACACTCCAATTTCTCTCACATCCAGAAGATGAAGAAGTTTGACTAAGAAGACGGATTGCCAACTTTTGCAAAATTGGAGCACTACCCCCAAACAACGCCCACCATTGATCTACAATAAATAAATTTAATGATAAAAAAATATAAGTATAGAACACAAGTTATACTTAACTATTTAAGCGTAAAATATAAATTATAAACTAAAAAATAAAGTAATATTTACCGGGTCGAGTTGTCTTTGTTACGATAAGAGCACTTTCTCGACCAAAACTTCCTTGTCGTTCCCGGTACATATTCATCTCACTAATGCCTTTAGTTAAGTCATTACAAAAAGCTCTTTTTTCAAGTAAAGAAATGGTTGCACTCATGACTCTGTTCTTGCTACAAAATTTCTCATCATAGAAGAATGCAGGATTTAAAAAGTAAGCTGCTGCATGAAGATTGAGTTTTAAATGTTTATCCCATCGAGCCTTAATAATATTTGTGTAAGACTTATACAAAGCTCTTCTATTTCTAAACATCTCCTTTATAGCATTTTTTGCCCTTTGCATGCCTTCATAAACATAACCAAGAGAAGGCTTTTCATCCCCATCTACAATTCTTAGTAATTGAATGATAGGAGCCACAAGTTTCGCTATCGACAAATAATCATTCCAAAACTTTTGATCCAAAACAATATCACTAACAATTTTTCCTGTTGTAGTCTTTGATAATTTATGGATAGTGAAATGCTTGTCTACAACTAAAGCTTGCAAATCATGTTTGTGATCAAAAATACTTTTCAATGTAATAAAAGTAGTAGCAAAACGAGTCACTCCTGGACGTACAATTTCTTTCCAACCTTCTCTTTTTCTCATCCAAGATAAGAATACCATGTGATTATAGACAAATACTGTAATCTTGGAAGCCTTTGTGGCAAGGTCTGAACATGAGGCATACTAGCAAAGTCCTTTAAAAGGAGATTCAAACAATGAGTGGCGCAAGGAGACCAAAAAATGGTATCATATTTCTCTTGTATCAATTTACCAGCAGCTACATAATTAGCTGCATTATCAGTCACTATATGAACAATATGTTCAGCTCCAACCCATTCAACCACTTCAGAAAACAAGCCACATAATGTCTTAGCATCTTTTATGACATCTGATGCATCAACAGATTTCACAAATACTACACCTATAGTATAATAAATTAAAACGTTTATCAACATATATCAAGTATTCTTCATATGACAATTAACAGCAAACTAAAAAAATAGTGAACTAATAAGTAATAACTATACTAAAGACTATTAAAATTTAACATAAATGATACCTGTAGGACAATAAACTAGAAAGTTGATCAAAGTTCTTTGTCCTTGATCAGTCCATCCATCTGCCATAATTGTACATCCACTCTTTGCCCAATTTGCTCGATAACCTTCTACAAGTAAGCAACACTCTCTCTTGCAATCTCCCAACAAGTTAACCCTTAATTCATGATAAGATGGGCCTTTAAAACTGGGACCAATAGCATTGATTGCATCTAAAGCAGGTTGAAAGTATGGTGATAGTGTTGCATGAAATGGAATGCAGGCATCATAAAACCAATGAGCAATTGCCATATTAGCTTTGTGAATTGCTTGCGTGCTTGATAATACACTTTTCAAACTTGGTTGCGATCCTGGAGTAGTCCTTGGAGCAAAATAATTACTAATTTCAATATTAGCTTTTCTTTTCAATGTGGGTTGCATCTTACTCTTCATATCCACATTTGAGCTAGGTTGAACTTCTTGTGCTTCATCTTCAATATTTTGATCACCATATGCTTCATATAGGTTACCATCACCACTCTTACTTTTTTCTTTGATTCTAACCAATAACTTAAGCATTTGGTTACGAACATCATGAGGAACATTTTTGCAAGAAATTATATTACCTGGAACCCCCGCAAGATGTTGCTTCATTCTATTTATGCCCCCTCCTTTACAAGTCTTACTACAATAAAGGCAAGTGTATACACAACTTTTTCCCTCTTTTTTAAATGAAATGTGAGCCCACGCAGGATCACTTTTCCCACGAGCTGTACTTGAGGATTCTGTGGATTGTTTCTCAGATGGAATATTATTACTATCTTGAGAAGCATTATCTTGTAGAGCATTCACACTTGGTAATTCCTACATGTTATAAGCATAAACTGATTAGTGATTAATAATAAATAATTGAATAATTGAGAAATTCATATACAATTATAAATATAACAAGCAACAAAATTTGTCATAGAGGAACAATCTCACTAGCACCAATTTCAATACCCACTGTTAGAGTCGTGGAGAAGCACTATAGATAGAATGCAGGAACTCAATCAAGCACAAATAGCAGGGATAGAACAGTATCACCCATCTAGGTAAAAAAACAAAACATATTGAAGCTACTTCGCCAGGTCCAAGCGACAGTACCCATGAGTTTTTGTCAATTCATACCGAGGGTGCTAATCAAAATGATATTTCTTCATGTAGACAACCTTTACTAAGTCGGAAGAGTACAAGTATTAGGATGAAAAAGAACAAAAAGATGACAAAATTAGGTTCTTTTGACAGTTTATCTTAGCCTAATGTAGAGATAAATCCTCCTATATTGGATTGGGGTAGAAATTTTTATTTTTCCCTTCAGTGGCTTACTTGACAGTAGCAAATACATGCAATGATAGCATTTTACGGATTCATGAACCGTTCAGTACCAATAAGTAGTTCTATCCCTGCAATTTTATGAGATTTCGCTTGTTACATACATTGAACGAACAGTCTCACAAATTTCTTTTTTTTTGAAGTAAAAAGTGAGAAGAAACGGTTCCATTTCCACAAAACTCGACATAAAATTGAAAGTTTTATAAGTTCCACATTGAACAGAGGCTAAAACAGTACGCTAACAAAGGCATTAGTTCTAAGGTTCCTTTAATATTATTTTTCAAAACCAATAGGTCAAAAAACATGGTTCAAGCAAAACCAGAACAAGAACCAGATGGAGCTGCACTATAGAAAAAATGGAGCACAGGCGCGGGCAGACCGTTTCGATTTTCTCTTGCAGAAAGCAAAGAAGCATCGCAGCTTTTAACAGTATCACAAATTTTGCACCAGTTTTCGAAGTAGAAAGAACATAAAGATCAAGTTGAATTTCTACCAAATAATGAATATCAAAACGTACTATATTAAAAACCAAATCCAGCAGAATCAAGCTGCAAATCACACTAGAATCAAGATCGGCTACAGTTCATCAAGTTCCATATATATAAAATCGGGCCATGAAAATCAAACTACAAACTCAAAGATTTAAATTCAATTAAAAGATGAATTAAAAATATAAAGAAATGAAAAGCTTAAACATTACCATCTTACGAGAATAACGAACTGGAACTCAATGAAACGCCGGTGAGGGAGTGGTGATGAAGGAATCCAAAGTGGAAAAGCTGAAAAGGGATAGGGTTTACTGCTTAAACGTTCGTGAAAGAAAAGAAAACTGAAAATGGCTTAACCCTGCAAAATCAGAAAATAAATATGGGTTGAAAAAAAATCATAAAACGGCGATGTTTTGTTTAATTAAAAAAAACACAGAACCGCTTGAATCGGTAGAACCGTCGGTTCACACCGGTTTTGCCGGTTCACATCGGTTTTACCGGTTCATAGTCGGTTCTTTGCACATCCGGTTTTGCATGTTGACCGGACCGGACAGGTAACCGATTCGCGGTTCAACCGGTCGAACCGGCCGGTCCGGTTTTAATAACCATGCTGTTTGTTCGAAAGTCTGCTAGTGGTGTTGTCTACATGCTAGTATATGTTGACGATATTATTTTGACATGAAGTGATGATGTTAGGTTCAATGTGATTTTGAAAAGTTGAATACTCATTTCTCGTTGAAAGATCTTGGTCCTCTTAGTTTTTTCCTTGGTATTGAGGTGTGTTCTGATGCTGATGGTTTGGTGTTGACTCAACAAAAGTATATTCATGAGCTGCTTCACAAACATGGTTTTGGTGATGTAAAGAGCCTTCCTACTCCTATGATCTCCAACTGCAAGTTATCTGCTAATGTTGGAGACCCCATTGAAAATGCAACTTAATACAGGAGCATTGTTGGTGCTCTCCAGTATATAGTTGTTACTCGATCGGATATTGTGTTTGCAGTGAATAAGGTCTGTCAGTTCATGCAATAGCCTCGTAATGTCCATTTTCAAGTTGTTAAGAGGATTTTACGTTATCTTCAATGAATGGTTGGTTTTGGTTTACGGTTTACTACTTCTTCTCGTATGTCTTTGACTGGTTTTGCAGATGCTGACTGGGGCTCTGACACTGATGATAGGCATTCCACTTCTGGCTATTGTATTTTCTTTGGTGGGAATCTAATTTCCTGGAGTTCGCGCAAGCAACAAGTTGTCGCTCGACCACGGCCGAAGCTGAGTATTGGAGTGTTGCTTCTACAGCTGCTGATATTATATGGATTTAGTCTTTGCTTTAGGAATTGTTTGTTGTTCCACATGGTAAGGCTACCTTGTGGTGTGATAATTCTATCACTGTTGCAGTTTGTGTCAATCCTGTTCTTCACTCAAAGTTCAAGCACTTTGAACTTGACTTAATTTTTTGCGTGAAATGGTTGTTGATGTTGCAAATATCTTGACAAAACCGCTCTCTTATCCTTCGTTTCTTAAGCACATGCATAAACTTTTGGTAACACAACTAAGAGTTTCTTCTGGAGGCTTACATAGGTGTAGTAACATGGGGAATGTTGAAGAAAAGAATGAGAAATTCACTAAACATAGCTAAAGAATTCGACGTAGGACAAATGTTAGTATTATCTACACGTGTCTTTGCATGCATATATTGCGTGAATACTAGTGCTAGGGTTTTCTGTTATCGTGCAGTTACAAGTTGTTTTTATTTTGTTATATGCACAATTATTCCTCATTTTCATATATAAATAGTTGGTCTCTAGTTTAGAAATGGTTAGCTTTTCTTAATAAAGGTTTCAAGAGTATTGACTCTCTTTTTCTCACTTTTCCTTTTAGATATATGTGCTATCTTATCAAGTAAAATATGAGATAGAATAAAATTCAATGATGAATTATATAATTTACTATATTTTTTTATATAACAATAAAGCATGTCAGATAATAAACATACAAATAGGCTTTTATAATCTAATAAGCACATGAGTAAGTTTTAAATGTAATATATTGGGTAATAAGCTTGTGTAGGTAAGATTCATGTTTATAATTTTGCGTCTTTTTATGTTACTTCTTAGCATGAATTTTGGGTTATTTACCCGTCTAAATTCAAGTCTATTAATTGGGTATAATTTAATAAATAAAATTGAGGAAACTTAGCCGTCAAAGGCATCATAATATTGATGGCTAAATAGATGTCCTTTAACTTAGAGATTTTGGGTTCTACACTTTAAACCACTGATTTTGAGTGATCTTCTTTGCAGCCCATCAAAGAAATGGGATAATCAAACAAATAGTCCTTGAATTACTCAGAATTCATAGAACGACTCAAATATTTTTAGAAGGTGTAATTTGGTCCTTAATTTCTAAAATTTCCTTTTAGTTAAGATCTCATACTTCAATATTTATCAATACAGACCTTTACAACTCCTTAAATTTATAGAATAGCGTCTGAAGTTCTAATAACTATAATTTTAGTCCTAAAATTGAGGTGTGAAAGAGTTCCTTATTGTCATACCATTATTGTTCCTCAAAGAACAACTCAACAAGACATTGTTTTCTCCTCACTTTTATTCTTTAAAAAATCCTCAAAATAAAATATAAAAAAATTATTGAATTGCAACGTAAATAGGTGTTGAGTATAAACCCTAGAAGAACTCTAAGAGGTCAATAAAGTTATGTTGCAATTGTAACACTCCTTCATCTCCCTCAACTTTGAATATACGTGTAGTCTTATGAATGTAAATTCCAAGGAGATGGTGGGTAGTCAAGTAGTCACTTTGTTCGTTCAGAACATTCCTACGAAATTTTACTGGAGTGGTTTGAGGTAGTTATTTGGAAGACATGGAGAAGTAGTTGACTCGTATATAGATAGAAAGAAGGATAAGACATGGAAGCGTTTTGGTTTTGTAAGATTCTCTAACAAAGTGGATGCTAATAGAGCAATGCAAAGGCTAGACGGTTTTAGCAGTTATGGATTCAAATTAGTAGTGAAAGAGCAAAGTAGAGAGAAAGGTCTCAGTCGTGGAGAAATTTTAACTACGCCTCTAATCATGTATATGATCGGTCAGAATGGCAGAAGAGTAAACAAGATTTGAAGTACAAGGACGTTAGGCGAAAGGATAAGGGGGTGTTTGAAGAAAATATCAATGAAATGGTAGAGAGTAGTGAAGATTCAGATAAATAAGCAAGAAGGACGTATGTAAACGTCCGGGGTCATGTTGAGGAGGATTCAATCCAGAAACATAGAAAATGTCTAGCTGGTACAATGGCAACGGTGTGCAAAACAAGTCAAGTAGAAGAAAGGCTACAGGCACAGAGTCTGGGAGATATCATCAGTCGAAGTTTCCTGATAGAAATTGAAGATCAAGAGCTTTATTGTTTAATATAAGATCTCAATTGGTCTTATCTAAAGGAGATTTTCACAGAAGTTCAACCTTGGACGGAAGCATATCATCAGTCGGAGAGAATCACCTGGATTCAACTGGTAAGTATTCCGCTTCATTTCTGGAATCATAATACATTTAAAACGGCAGCAGAATCATGGGGGGAGCTTCTAGCGTTGGGGGAAAATGCCTTGCAATCCAGAGATTGTGAAAAGTTTCGCTTCAACACCCATGTTCGAATCAAATTGGAGTAAAAGTCTGGTGATTTAGGAGGAGTCCATAAGTCCTTTGGAAAAGGGAGAGGTGATTTAGGAGGAATCAAATTCGAGATGGGTCAACCAGGTGAGGGGTCGGGTCAGAATAAGAA